AGCCCTCCCCTCGCCCATAATCCCACTTTAGGCACCGTCCTTTAAGTCCATGAGCTGAACTCTGAGTACTAGGCTGCTACTAGCAACTTCTACTGCGCACGCCCCAAAAATCTCACGATGTCCCTAAGTACCCATCACTGACTCAGTGATGGTACATGGATGGTACCCTGAGCAGCGATGAAGCAGTCTTTGGTCAAAGCATCCCGTATAAAGTTCTGTTGATCTAACGCACAAATCGAAGCACAAAATCGAGTCCAAACCCACTTATATCAACCATCTTGCATCGTGTCCCGAAAAATCGTCGTAATCTCGTAATTTGAGTTTGAAATGATTAGTTTAAGAATGAGATTCGGTGTGTTCTTGGTGTTTGTTTGCCTGATCAGATTCTCACACGGTGAGTCAGACTTTAAGGCCCAATTAACATTCTCGAAAATCGGTTTTTCCCTCATTTTTTCGCCCCATTCGTTGTGATTTAGGTATATTAAATAATTATCAGAGGGCTTTTTCCTTTGGTGAAGAATGCTGTTGCACTGTGCCGCTGTTTGCCAGTTGCGTTAACAGCTAATCCCCCCCCCCGCATTCGGTGCGCGGTAATTGACAACATGGCCACCGCGCATTGCGGCCGTCTTCGCTCTTTTCAAAGATTCCCGCTGGCGTAATTCAAATTCGCGATTTCCAATCGAGATTTTTTTATCTAATAAATGAGACACAGATTTCCCTTTAGTGATAATTAAATAATGTAATAATAGAGTCTCCGTTGCAATTTCGTTCATCATTGTTTATAATGAGATAAGAACAGGAATCACCGTTATCAAAAGTAGCTAGATAGCAGCTTTCGGGTTTCTCATTAGCGATGACTCACCCGCTTCGAGATTACAACTTAAGTCGTCGAATAGATAAAAGATAACGAGGCACCTGATCAGATTTATTCTTCTAATAATTATAATGTTTGTACAGGCATGGAGTGTTCATTTGGGGATACGAATTTCATCTCCAGGGCACTGAACTCTTGTCCCGGATTGATGGACCCAGCGGAAAAATCGTACTGCTGCTACAATATCGAGGAGAACAAAGCCTACTGCTGCGATTCAATGGAGTTCACTCTGAATTCCTCCTGGTAAGCCACCATTCTCTTTCCTAATTTTAATTAGATTTCGTTGACGAGTGATTAAATTGGTTTCGTTGAAGGTTCCTGATTACCATAACCGTTGCTGTGGTATTCGTGGTGTCTCTCTTCATCTTCTGCGTCTCTTGCCTCTGCTGCAGCTGCTGCCCCTGGCACAGGAGGCGCCATCGTGGCACTGTTTACGGAAGTAAGATAATTAGTCATGATTTTATTCGCGAAATTAATTTCTCAGACGATCCGATTGAATTTATTTATGGAGACAGAAGTTTCGCTTGGAGTTTAAACGAGAATTTGTGGTTTTTTATAGGGCCGTCCATGATTTGAACCCGCACCGTCTTCCAAAACACTCCTGACACCTAATTATCATAAGTGTGGCAGGTTTCTCTTTCTTAAACAAACTCGCTTCGAATTTATTGTTAATCGCTTTAACGAATAATCTCATGTAAACATTCCTTATTATTTTTTTTAAATATAAGACAACGGTTTCACTTCGTGGATATGAAAGGGGATGAAATTCTGAGACGAAAGTTCGTTTGACACTTTTCTCTACAATCATTATTAACAAAGTTATTAAAGAAAACGTGCGGTTGCTTTGATAAGCAATTGGTCCACACATTCTTCGTCGATAACTTCGTTAATAATAACGATAGAGCAAAGTGGGAAAGGGACTCAGAAATAAATATACATTCCTTAGTTGTAAGAGCTGAGCCTGACGAGCAAATCAGGTATTCCAAGATTGTGATCTTTTTTTAATATAACCCAAAGTCTACTTAAAAAATGTTTAATATACTAGTCGTATTTAACGATTTTACTTCGTGGATGTGAAAGAAGATGAAATTCTGAGTCGAGAGTTTCTCTGACACTTTTTTCTATAATCATTATTAACGAATTTATAAGAGAATAAAAGTTTGGGCCAATCGCGTATCAGAAACGAGAGTACTATACGGTTTCGTGAATAACTTTGTTAATATTAATCGTAGAGAGAAATTGAGAAGGGACTTTTGACTCAGATTTTGAGCCTCTTTTAGGTTTCAGGAAGCAATTCGTTATATGGACTGTGTTTATACAGAATATATGCAACTGTTGATGGCCGTTTACCGGCTGTATTCCACTTAACTGTATTTTTTTATTACACAGTATCGTAACTCCGTTAATGTAGAATTATCCTAAACTTAAGGCTTTTTATAATTGTGTATTGTAACGTTTATAATAAAGTTTATCTATCCAATAAAATGTAAAACTCCCATGCTCCACTTCCCTTCGTAAAATTGTATTATTGTTAACAATTTAATGTACGTATTTGAAAATTTCTTCTGTCTCTATAAATACATTTCCAATTAACTTGTCAACTTATAATCGTTATTTAAATAGGAGTGCAAGTGCCGCAAGTGGTGCACGTGATCGAAACCCAGCCTCACGTGAACACAGCGTACGCGACTAGTTCCGCAGGTGAATAAAAATAAAATAAACTAAAATAACAATTTATGAAAAAATTAATTTTTTTCAGAAGTCGCGCAGCCGCCGCCGTATTCAGCTGCAGTCTACGAGAAGCAGGCGCCGTACAATCCGAATTACATGCCGTCGACTTAAGCTCGAAAGATTCGTCAAGAAGAATTTCGTGCCAATCTATACAAAGAGTAATTGTCAATTGTTTTTTTAATTCCAAAGCCAGAACGTGTTAAAAAGTCGCCATATCAATCGAACGGATTTACAGTAAGGTAATCGAAACTGCATTTTTTATGAAATATCTTCCGGGAGTCTAAAAGAGGAAATCACGAATAGAAAGTTTCTACTATAGTTTTTTCTACGATTAGTAATGACAGACTTATTAAGGAAAACGTGCGTTGGCCCCGCCCCTGGCACGCAATTGGCTCCTTTGTATCTCGTTCATAACTTCGTAAATAATGATCTTAGAGAAAAATGGAACAAGGATTTCCAACTTGAAATTTGACCCTCTTTTTGATTTCAGGAAGGGATTCACAATACAGACTTTATTTATACAGAATATGTGCAACTGTTAGACGTTGATAAAAGTTCCTGAACATGTTTTACATAACGAACGAAAGGATATTAATTGTCATGTTAATTAAGTGCACTCATTTAGCTGTTAAGTTATATCGCTGTTAAAACAAATACGAAATATATACAGTTGAAGATTTAGAAATAAAGAACGTCAAACCAAATCCGGTTGTAGTGAAGCGTAAACGCGACCGCTGACGATCTTACTCGAACAGTTTTGGCTCGGCGGCCCGTTCAGCGGGAGTACCGCGGCGGAGAATCCGCCTGTAGCGAAAGGGTTAAATGTCTTCCATAAATGAAAACACAATGTTTTCTGGGAAAATATATATTTCTGATTAACTGTCATCGTATATTACAATATTTATATCATTGTCCTATTGCTAAATTCGATTTAAATAAATAATAAAACTGAACGATCTACGTTTAATAACAGTCGCGTGAAAATTTTATTGAAAACCCTTATACAATATTCATTTCGATTAAACAGAAATATGAACGGTCGATTTGCAAAATTAAGTAGTGAGAGTTTGCTGTATATGAGTATTGATCGTCAATTACCTACGTCTACCGTATTATTGACATCGGTTTACCTAAAGGAACAACAGAATTATTACGGGACGGTAATATTTTTAAACGATTCGATCACAATTATTGCGATTATTGTACGAACTATCTGTTTACATCATAGAAATTACTTTACATATTGTCTATGAAGAAAGGAAGAGTTGCCAGGTCGCGTCGATTTCTGATTGACCACGTTAACAGTTAATTAAACATATTTACAAGTCGATAAAAAACATTCTTCCACCCTTAGAAGCCCGATTAAATTTCTTAACAAAGTTTCTCTATTGTAATTCCGCTGATAAACTTAGGAGACCACGCAGGTGGACTGTGAATTATTATTGTCCGCATTTTCAAGATTGCTGTAACTTCCGCGAAACGCTGCGTCCTCGACGCTAAGAGTCAACTCGACCCTCTCCTCCTCCAAGGGCGAACTGGCAGAGGCATGGCTGATAGAGGAATGCCTGGACCTCGACAGATTTCCTCGCTGATTACTACCAGCAGAAGGTGCTGGGCTCGGCGACGGGCTCTCCGGTATCTGTTCCTGTTCCTGCTGCTGCTTCGCGACGATCAATCGATTCAGATGCGAGACCTGCCCTTGAATACCTGACACGAAGGGCCTGTAACCCAAACTGAACCCCCAATATTATTTCTAACTACTAGAGCTCGTTTCAAGAGCGATCAAGACTCACCATTCGCTGTGGGACCATCGAGTTAGCGTCAAAAGCCCGTCCCTAAGGTTAATCACCGAATCGAATGTCTGCATGGGAGCGTGTGCTGCTCGTACGGTTCTCGCCATGGCCGGGGCGTCTCTTAAAACGGTAGCCAGTACCGCGGCCCAGCCTAGGCAGCCTCCTTCCAAAAACAATTGGAGGAGGTACCTCAGCTGGACCTCCGCTCGGCTTACCGGCGCGCACGGCGATGCGTTGTGCACCTCGGTTTGTTCCACTGGGTCCGGTGAGATCCAGCAGACGGTCCCGACGCCTGTGCCGACGATTGACTCTGTGTCGTCGCGCCAAATAGTGCTCGTGTCGCTTATAACGCTGTTCGAATCTGCGATCAAACGAAAACGGGTGAGATCTCGAATAAATCGATTGGGACCGAAATAGAATTCTCCGTGGGATCTTACCGTGCATGTTTGCGTTCAACTTCGTTTCAGCAGCCGGGAACTGGGTTTCCAAGCTGGCAACAGGCGAAACTAAAGTGGTGTAAGGGGGCCTGCCGCTGGGTAAGCTGGTGTAACCGCTGTCGGGCAGGTCCACAGCGAAGTTCGAGTCCTCTTCGGGGCTCTCCATCGATCGGATGGACCTCAGAGAAGTTAGACTGGATCGTCGGTACTTCTGGAGGGTCGGCAGGGACAGTACGGGGTAAGCGAACGAGAAATCTTCGTGGACAACTTTGAGTGCAGCGACGTAGTCGTCGATCTTAGCTGCCCTGTCTCGTTCCCGGGCGAACCAGGTCACTAAATGGAAATCCAGCCGCGCTGCGAACCTCCCTAAGTCTGCCAGACGCTTGGCTGACAGCAGGCGACGCGCGTGCCGCTGCAGGATCACGTCGATGAAGAATTCTTCCGCCGAACCTTCTCTAAGGGACAATAAAACGGGATTCAAGCAAGAATCTCTTATAAAAGTGCATCTTGGTCGATGAAATTTCAGTTTACTTCGTGTCGGTTTTCTCGTTCTTTGACGTGTTAGCCGGTACAGACTTCTTCCTTCTCATCACGACGTTCCTAGTCTTTTCTAACATCGAGGATGGTGCTATGTCTTTCGTCACGGAATCCGATTGGACTTTCGGAGTCGCTGTCGTGCTGTAGCTTCGACTCCTCGACACTTGCATGGTCCCTAATACTAGGGATAAGTCGTCTTCGTGTGGCGAGAGCGGCGGGGTCTGCGGAGGCCCTCCTAATTTTGATGTCCCGCCCCAAGACGTTCTTGGCGACTCGACATCGTTAGGATCTAAACGAAAATGCATCACTTTCCTTCGAGGATTTGAAATTCTGCGTAAACAGTTCGTTTTCTATTTTTCTCTACAATCATCATTAACCCCTTGAACGACAATTTATTTTCAGTCAGCACTTGAAAAAGAGGAAAGTTTATGACGAGCTGGACTCGTCATTTCCGTTCAAGGGATTAACAAGATTATAAACGGAAACGTAATCGGTCAATGACGTGTGCGAGGTGCGGCCACTACACGTTTTCGTTAATAACTGCGTTAATAATTGTTGAATCTGCTTTACGTGCTGTACTACTGAATCTGCTTAGCATATTGTACATGCAAGCGCAGCTAGTGCGCATTATTCGAAACTGATTTGTTTTTGTCCAGTTTCGTCTGTCATTATATTTCGCGAACAGTCGCAGTTTCTCGTTATTACCCTTGGTCTTAAGACGTTTTCCTGTTAATAAAGTTCTTTCGTATATCTCGATTGGTCTTTTATTAAATCATTCGTTATTTATAATTCGGCTAATTCACAAATCACAACTGGTTCCACATTCAACAATAATGATCGTAAAGAAAAATGGAAACGGAACTTTTTACTCAGGATTTCATACTCTTTCACCCAGTCATTAATTTCTATTATCCACTCACCGATTGCTCGTAAGAATCTAACGAGATCCTTAGACAACTCCCACCTTCCCTGTTCCAACGCAGCATCCAACAACAGCGTCGCATGCTGTCTACTCACGGTGGAAGGTTCCAAGTTTTGCAGGATGATCAAATAACTGGCAGCAGTGTCCAGCTGTTGTCGCTGCAAACAGTCTTGTAGCAACTTTTTCGGTGGGCCAGCGACGGAGAAGAGGTAAGGCCATAAAGCGATCTCAGTTTTCCTCGCGCACTGGACGACCGCCCTGGCCCAGACGCCAGGGAACTCGCGGATGAACTCTATTATGGATGGCAGTTGGGCATCCGGGATTGGCTCCTTGCTTGTCGCCTCTTCTTCGAGGACCTCGTGCAACAGCAGCTCCAGCGAATGGGGGAAGTATGGCAGTGCTGAACAGGAGCGGGCAATTTCCCACGCGTGATAGCCTAAGTTACGGTGGATCAGCTGCCGGAGTATCTGGTGCAGGTACACTTGACTCTGAAGATAGAAAAAACTTCTTAACTCTAGAAGAATAGTATATCTAAATGATATCTAAGAATCATTTAAATAGGGCTTGTCATTTTTTAGAAAAAAATTCATGAATCCATTGATCATGTATAGAACTGTGTTTCCGTACTGAACTTACCGTCAATTCTAATAAACTGAAGGGTAACGAGAAGGGCGAGTTGGTATCAGACGTGAAGAGAACCGTGTCGTTCTCAGCACCGAGTAAAATCGCATCCTCGAACAAGATAGCGAGAGGGTAGATCCTCAAATGGAAAGGCAGCATGATTCTCTTGCTCATGAACGTGTGGGTCTTCTCCTGATGATTCCTGGGGAACAGCGGCAGCCAGACTCTCATCCCGTGAGCCCCGCAGAACAGCCAAAGAGCCTCGGTCAAGTGGGGCTTGTCCCTGCGAGACCTCCATGGCACCCAGACGTTTTCCACGCATGAAGCCAACACCGTAGGCGCGCTGCAGCTATACAACTGCAATTTCTACTGAGTTAATCGAGGATCGATAGGATGAAATAAGAGAAATGTTGCAAGTACCATTTCTGGATTGTCGTTGCAGTGTTCTCTCTGGACCATCAGAAGCCGGCCTGAGACATTTAATAAGAGACTTTCGGGATGAGGGTGGCTGCCAGCTGTTTCGGCACGAATAGTAGTGAGCGTAGCGCTGACTACGCAGGCTGGATGCACGCACAGCCCGCTGATATCAACAGTTTGAAGTCTGGTCAGGTCAATACTCCCGGAATCTGACGAGATATCGAGTTGTTCATAAGTCTCTGGTTGAGAATAGAATTGATTTTCGGTGAAAACGTTGATAAATAATAATTAACTCGTTAATGAACAATAAAATTGCTTATTACAAAAATTTATTTTTCATTCTAACGAAGATTGCTTCAGATAAAAGTTGTAGATTTCGATGCCAGATATAAAAAAATATACTTTCCTCCTCACGTTAATGAATTGTTGAGATTAATAAAAGTGGACGAATCTTGCAAAGATACAAAGGGTCTATTCTTTACATGATTTTTCTTTTTAACTAATTTCTCTTTTAATTATTCCTTAATTATTGATAGAGAAAAATGTTTAAAATAGAAGTCGCAGATATTTACGAATACTACAACTTTTTTGCAAACATTTCTTGCTAACACGAAGATTTAAAGACTTCAACTTAAGTACTCACTAATTAATGGATTTAGGAGAAAAATGCATAGTTTTGTAGCCGAAATCAAGTGCTATAACTTTTGTGGGAATCGTTTTTCGCTAGCGTCAATAATTACTGAGTTGTAAACAATAAACCATTGTTCGTTTACTTACCATTCCCATTAGTCTCCAGCACCATGTCATAAATACTGATTTGTCCATTGGCACAGAAGGTCAGCAACCTATCCTTCAACGTGTTCAACAGCAACACCTGCGACGGCATTCTGACAGTCCTCACGTAATTATTGTCCAGCCGCGAATCACGTGGATAAATCCTGACCTCATCCTTATCGTCTAAAATGGAATAACTGCTGGCTACTAGGAATCCCCGGTGCCAGAGTAAACCCCCGGTGACTATAAAGTCCCTTTCTTGAGTCTCGTTACCAAACAGCTTCCATTTCCGAGATGGGAGCGAGTAATGGGCCAAGCCGGTTCTCCCTGCCACCGCCAGGCTCATCCCCTCGCTGTCGATCGCAGTATACTACACAGAAACGAAGAATCTATTAAATACTTGACAGATGAATTAAAGTAAGAACGTTTAATTACTCGTATGGGCCAATTTGCGCCGCTGTAAGCCGACGGTATGGGAACTACGAGCCACTGCTTGCACCCAGCCAACGTCTGGCTGATCGTATCGTTAGGAATTTCATTTCCAATATGAAAATTGTTAGCATGGGTCGAAACACCACCGCCAAGGTTCAAATACAGCCTATCCTCGCCTTGCAAATACAAATGTCCGTGCTGTCCCTAAAAACAAAGAAGTTACACAGTTTATTTGTAATTATTCTGAGATCGTTGGCGCTAGAGGCAAATTGCATTCAACCTTATTTGTAGGGAAACTTTTTCTCTAGGATCAATAATTAACGAGCTATTAACAACAAACTGGTACTCTATCTAAAAAATTCTATTACTAAGAAACTAGTCTTATACTTTTGACGATTACTCCTAAACTATTAAGGGATTACAGTTACAAGAAAATTGTATAGAACTTTAATTGTACATAATCATAGGAGGTATAATTTTCGTTCAAAACATTTTTCTCTAGTTTCGAGTATTATCGAATTAAATCGTTACGTGTACCATGCAAGGATTGACGGTCAGTGGGCTCTTCACGAAATCCAATTGTATTAAAGAACACTTGAAGTTGGATCTGTCGTTGTCGTTCTCCTCGGTCAGAGAAGGTCCAGGGGACTCCCTAAGCATCCATAGCTGATATCCTTCGGCAGACCACTCCTAATCCAAGAAATCATTCATCAATTTTCATTCTATCATCCATTAATTTCAAGATACTGACCATTGTGTGGATGTGCAGGGGATTGTCGCGAGTTAGATCTACTCTTAAACCGTAGTCCCACTTCAAGGTGCAGAGTAGAAGCGCGCCGAAGGTGCTCCAAATAGCCAGGCCGCCTCCTTCCCAGGCCAAAGCGATGGCACAGCTGTCCGGCGTCCATCGGAGGCATCGAACGCGCCCCGGCCTCCCTGGATAATCCTTAGAAGACAGGCTGAGAGCATGCGACATCTCCAGGCTGCCTGTAGTATCGTCCACGTAATAAACGACGCCCTCGGAATTCTGCCTGCCGATGGCTATCAGCCGGTATTTGTGATTAACCGCCGCGCACGTCGCATCTTCGAGGTCTCTGGCCCAGATCCCCTGTACTTGGTTCGGATCGAATTTTAGGGACTGCGCAGTGAGAAACGCTGCCTTGCCGTTGTTTAAAACGATCGCAAATCCTCCGACAAGGGGAGAATACTCGATGTCCGTTACGTAGATGTTATTCTCTGTCAAGGGGACAGCTACCGTCGAGATTTGTTGATCGACGCTGAAAGGAATCCTTCTTAAATCGAGGGAGTAGTCCCTGTTCACTGTCCCGTCCCACTTTTGCCTCACCACGTGGCTGGTTTTCGTCGCGACCATCAATTCATCGCGGATACAGACCAGAGAACTGATCCCTCCATCTATCCACGCTGATTTCTCCTAAAACAGCAATCCATTTTTTCTCCATTCTAAAATAATTCATAGACGTACTACCATGTGTGTAGTGTACGTGAGAATTTTCTCAAGTTTTGCCATCCGTTATTTGTATTAAATAAAAATTCATCAAGTCCCCAACCTCTCGAATAATGAATTTTAATCAGTACCAAAACTTTCGATTTTTTCCGATTTTAATGTATCAAAAATTCTGAGATAAATCTGAGATACACTACTGCACTTTCAAATTATTCCAGAATCCGTTCTAATTATTCCATCGATTCTTTAACCCGTTTTCGATATTTCGAATTTATATCTTTTACTTACGAAAGTGAGGACCAGAGATGGAATCACTTCCTTTATGAACAGTTCGGCGCTGTCGCGTTTCAGGCTGGTCACAGGTGAGTCCCTCTGCTCGTACAATCCTCTCCCCTCTGGTCCGGTATCTTGCAGGCGATAGAAAAGCAAATAACTGTCCGACGTCTATAAATTAAACAATATATTTCATTCAGAACGAATTTTCGAATAAATGGTTGCTTTGGGAGTCTTTAGATGCTTACAGCGATGACGAGCATGCTGGAGTCCGGGCGCCACTGCAATAGAACGTTCTCGCCATGTTTCCTTAGAGAATCCGCTGTCCTTCGTATGAAAACGATCGGCACGCAAGGCTGACAAATTCTTTTATTAGCAGAGTAAATTACACAGTTTCTGTTTACAATTTCTACTCACTGCCTCGCCCTTCTTAGATTTTATATATAGTAAGCCAGTGAATGGAAATTATAAACAGAAATTGCATGAAAAATAAGAGTCGTTTACTTAATAAATCAGAGTCGTTCAATTTCTACTTAATTTCTGCCTTCCTAGAATTTTACATGAAATCTTAAGCCAATGAATGGAGATCATAAATGAAAATTGTATAAAAATTAATAACAGTTCAAAAATAAGAGTCGCTGACTTCAAAAATAAGAATCGTTTTTCCTTTCCTTTTGTAGAATTTTGTATGGTATCTTAAACCAGTGAGTAGAAATCATAAACAGAAATTGGTTTAACAGCTGCACGGAAAATAAGAGTCGTTGCTAGAAAAATGACAGGGAAATTAAATAAATCAGGAGGTGAGTAGGAAAGAAGAGAAGTGGATTAAATTAATTTTCAGAATATAAAATAAGTCACACGGGATCAATTCTATAGAAGCGATTAGATATGAATTATATAGATTCATTCAGATCTAGAACAATAAATGAGTTTCTTGTAGAAATAGAACAGAAACAGGAATGTCCCTTTAGTTAAGATAGAAAGGAGAACCGAGAACGAAAGAGATGAGCATATAAATATAGAATAAAATGATATGATACGAAATAGAATAATAAGGAGGCAAACGATTTGAAATACCTTGATAGCTTCTAAATACCTTGGTAATAGAAAAACTTGCTTCAGAAAGGAAGAACAAGGAAGGAAATGGTCTGCAATACCTCGAGAGCTTCTAAAGTCTTTGAAAACAGAATAACGTAGAGCGAAATGATTTGGAATACCTTACTAGCTCCTATACACCTTGAGAACAGAATAATGAAAAAGAAAATGATTTAAAATAATTCAAGAGCTCCTAAATACCTTGAAAACAAAAAAAATGTCTTTGAGACACTGCTATATCCCTTGATAATGAGGACGGAAATGATTTAAAATACATTGATAGTTTTTGAATACCTTGGTAATAGAATAAGTATAATAGAAACAATTTAAAATACCTTGCAGTACCAAATGGTCAGCGTGTCGGTAGTTAGAACAGCAAACAGAATCTTGTCCCTGTTGCAAACGACCGCTGTCACGTTCTCCGGTTCGGCGGTGTTCAGAACCCGTGGCCAGCCAATCGGGAAAAACATGATACCTTCTCAAATGTTCATCGACTCAATTTCCTCCCCTCCGTTCACATTTTCTCGTTGTCCGATTATTTGTTTTCACTCTATCGCGAGTGAATCGAAACGTAAACATCCCTGTAACCTCATCGTCGTTTCACTCGCAGTAGAGAGACGACGATTTACATTGGAAGAGTAGGGAGAGTCGATTGAAGCGCCCCTCGTTTGTCTGAATTTATTGATTTTTTTTTAGAACAAAGATGAGGTACAATTTCCCTTTCTGTTTATGATTCTACAGGTAAAGTCTGGGGGGGCAAACCTAAGTGGGGCGAATTGAAGCAAAGTTTTTAGCGCCTCGTACCAATGGTTCACGAACTAAAGTGTATAAATGTGTGAACGATCCCATGTGTGCGTATATACATATATGCCATATATGCCCTTACATGAGATCAACCAAGGAAAGAGCTGATACAATTCAAAGATTACTATTTCAAATAATGTAAGA